TTACCATTCCTAGGACAAACTTACCATAGAATCCCCAGTGCAGATAGAGGCCATTCAGCCCATCAAGTCTGCACCGACACTCATGACAGCATCCCACCCACAAGTTGTGAAGTAGATGCAAGGAAGCTATAAGAAGATAGTTTAAGCAAGTGGGCAAAGACGTGACAAATGGAATATAATGTGGAAAAACATGAACTTGTTCATTTTGGCAGGAAGAATAAAACAGCACATTATCTAAATGATGAGACATTGCAGAACTTAGAGATAGAGGGATCTGGGCATCTTATGCATGGATTGCAAAAGGCTAATAATGTAGATACAGCAAGAATTATAAAAAAATTGTTATAATTTATTGCAAGAGGAATGGAATAAAGAAAAAGAGGGAGACAGTGCTTCAGTTATACAGAGCACCAGTGAGATCAAATTTGAAGAACATCTACAGTACTGGTCACCTTGAGGACATAAATGCATTACAAATAACTCAAAGAAGGTTTACCAGATTAATACCTGGAATGAGTATGTTCTCTTAGGAGAGAAGGATGGCATGCTAGGCTTGTAACTGCCAGAGGTTGGAAGAGTAACAGTAACAGATGACTCGACTGAAACATCAGATCCTGAGGGGTCATGACAAGGTAGATGTAGAGAGGATGGTTCCACTTTGAGGAACCTAAAACTAGGGCTCACTGTTTTAAATTAAAAGCGGGCTGCCCATAATAAACAGATGGAGGTAAAAATCTTTTCCCACAGGAATTTAAGAGCCTTTGAAATCTGTTTCCACCACTTTTTCAGGAAGAAGATCTTAATATTTTACGGCAGAGACGAGGAGACTCTTTATAAGCAAAGTGGTGAAAGGTTCAGACATAGGCAGGGATATGAATTTGAGGTTACAAATCATATCAGCCAGGGCCTTATTAAAATGATGGAGCAGGTCTGAGGTGCTAAACAACCTGCTCCTGCTTCACATTTGCATTATGAAAAAACACATTTGCAAAATCATGTCAGTTACTTAGTTGTTTGACACCATCTGATGCAAATAGAGTCACGTGCCAGAGTTTAAGACTTGTCATCCTGTTTTAAACATACTCAAAAATCAAACCACAAATACGGTGTGTCTGAAGCACTTGCAATAAACATTAATGATGGTCGGTTTTTCTACTGGTCCTGCCAATTTTGTACACTTACAGAACTTGTTCCCAAATTCTATTCTGCAAGTTTCTCTAAAAATATTTCAAGCCTGGATTTTCTGATTTATCAAATCAAATGAGATTTAAGTGACATACATTACATAATTAAATCACAATATGGCATACAAATTGCATCAAATGAGAAGTTTTTATTTACTAACAGACGTTACATGCTGTAGCCCAGGGGAGAAAAGGTAGGTGACAATAAGATTGCAGTCATTTAGCTACAAAACTAACCTGGCCTGTACAAAAGTCAACTATTGTCATCTAGGTTCTGGTTATGATTTGGTGACATTCAATAAAGACTAGGTCATTCAGGATATGTCATCAAAACAAAATTGACTGCCATATATTTTTGGAATCTGCGTTACAGCAATGTCATTAAAAGGCTATGTAGTAGCTCTTACTTCACCCTCTTAACAAGAAGCTCAGCCCTTCACTTTTAAACATTGTAGCCGGACATAAAAATCATCTTACCAAAATATATGGTAAGACAGATTTCTAATTTATTTTCTGATAATATTTAAAATAAAGCTATTCAACCAAATTACAGGACAATCAAGCCTGGGCACTAATTTTAACATGTTTCAGTATTAATATTAGTTTGATTAAAATTGTAGCCACAATATTTAAGATGAAGCTACAATCTTATGATTAAATGCATTACAGCATTAATACAGCAGTACATCAAGTTATAAAAGGTAAAGCTAATAACATCATTAGAAAAGTTCAGCTTGATATCTGAAGGACTGAGGAAGGGTCATCAGACCTGAAACATTAACGGATTTTTCTTCATAGATGATACCAGACCTGCTGAGCTTTTCCAGCAACTTCTGTTTGTGTAAGGAATAAGAACCCTTTCATACGCTGCATATACTTCTCAATTAGAATTCAGATTTGGGAGAATGCAGAGGGAGTTCACTAAAACTTCCCAGCCTTTAAAATTTCAACACCTCTGCACAGAACATTTTTAGGCAGTCTTACAGGATGCTTACAATGCAACCTACTATATGCAGGTAAGTGTGTTAATTCAATTTAAATGCTCATGAAGAGACACCAAGTGCTATTGGAGTACAGTAAGCTTGGCCAAGGATTAGCAAGTAGCTATTTGCATCTTTCTAGAGAAAGTTTGTTAAAATTTGAAGCAGTAGATGATACAGGCTGAAGCAAGGAGAGTTTTGGATTTTTCTAGGATGGAGAGTCTCCAATTACTGATCGATTTGAAAAATGACACCTGCAAAAGGTTAAAGAGCTGTTCTAATTTTATGCTAGTTCCTTATTGAAATTTGACTGTTACACATGGTCCTTCTTTTAGAAGATATTCTTTATTACATATCAGAAATTTAACCTTAAAACAAGCATCTCATACTATGCTCGATCAGATGTCAATTCAAGTGCTGGAAAATGTACAATGAGTCCAATTGTTTTGATTTGTCTAAACACTTACTGCTGTAATGGAGAATCAAGTGCAACGATTAGTAAAATTGGGTAGTGTAATAATATGGGGGCTCGTGTGGCACAGTGGCAATGTCCCAACCTGAGCCAGGAGGCCTGGGTTCAAATCCCACATGCTCCAGAGGTGTCAGAATCACAGAATCCCTACAGTGTCGAAGCAGGCTGTTTGGCCCATGAAGTACACACCTACTCGCCGAATAGCATCCCACCCTCAACTACCCTGTTCCTGTACCCCTGCACTTTCCATGACCAATCAACCTAGCCTGCATATCCCTGTGACCAAGGGGGGAAACTGGAGCAGCTTGTGAAAACACAAATAGACACAGGGAGAATGTCGGTGTAGAGTTTGCAGTCACCCAGGCTAGAATCTAACCCAGGTCCCTGGCACTTTGAAGCAGCAGTGCTAACCACGGTCCCGCCCCCTAGTTGATTAGAAAATATCTAAACCATAATCCTCAGCAGCTCATGCTACTTTATTTCACTAATTGTAAAACTTTGTAGAAAGATTGTTTGCTTTTAATCTCATACACATTTCAACAATCCTAGATAGCTGGCTCCAGAGAGTTAAGTGAAGTTTGGCTTGATTTCACTTAATTGAAGATTGTCAAAAGCAGTTTTCATTTTTTGTCCAAGTGAAAATCTCTTGCACAAAGTTCAGTTTTCTGTGCTATTTTTGTTTAAATTTCTTAAAGATGTCACAATCAACATCTCTAGGAACCCATCCATTGTTTTATTTTGTGGATGGAACTAATCATACAACTTAAGCTCTAACAAATAAAAATCTACTCAAGAACAATAGGCAGCATGTGACTTTGCCAAAAAGGTGCAACATCTTTCACAATAGAACAGGGACCTATGTTATGCGCAAAATTATTGCCAGAGAAATGCACAAGAATGGAGATAAGATGATTACACACCATCTCAACGCAGATAGAAACCTTAAAACATCTCAATAAATGTGTTAGAGTATAACTGCACACGAGGGCCTGCGCGAAATATTAATTTGGCTCGAGGAGGACAGCTGCACAGAAGCCAATAGAAATATGGGAGGATGGGCTCAGGAGAAGAATAAAATCACTGAAGAGGAGTTGTCCAATGAGAAGCCTGGAAGTAAAACCAATGAGAAAAACTGTTGAAATGTTAGAGCAGGACAAACCACAAAAAAAAAGGAACCTGATTAACTTACTTCAAAAAAACTCGAAGTGCACAGGAATTTTCAAAAGGCCTTTGACAAAGTACATCATGGACTAATTATAAAAAGAACAGCTTATAGGATTAAAGGGATTTAGCAGCATGAATAAAAGTTATCCAAGGAATGGAAAGGATGAGAATAGTGGTGAATGGTTTTCTCCCCCCAGACCGGAAAGATCAATACGTGGTGTTCCACAGGGTTCACAATTAACAAACGTCAAACAGCAACGGATTTAATGACTTGGACTTCACTACATAGCATGGTCTTTCAAAATTTTTAGATGAGACAAACATTGTAAATGTAGCAAACTGTGGAGGAGAAGAGACTGCCAAAAGTAAGCACAGCAGGTGCAACCTTTAAAACTGAAGTCTGATGTGATGCATTTTGGTGCAAAGAATTAAAGAGGCAATACAAACTAAATGAGAAGTTTTTTTGGTGAGGCCTGTGGCTTTTGCAGCTGGAGTAGCAGTCAATGCCGGGCACCATTCAATAGGAAGGATGTCAAAGCCTTAGACAGAGGAGATCACCAGAACAGTACCAGGAATTTTGGGGCTCCAGTTATGCAGAAAGGCTAGATACCAAAACTGTGTTTGGTCTTCTTTAGGGTGGAAAATGGTTAAAAGGAAGATGCAAGAAGAGTTCAAAATCAGAAGATTTTGATACAGAAAATAATGGAGAAACCACAGGGACGCAAAACATGGGTAGGCACATGACAGATTTAGGAAAGAGGCGTTTGCAAAAGCACCTGAGGCACAATGGTTATTATAATCTGGAATGTACTGCCTGAAATGGTGGTGGAATCAAGTCTGATGATAATTTTCAAAAGGACATTGGCTAAGTACTTGAAAATGTTTATATAGAGCTATTAAAAAAGGGAACGGGAACAAGACTAATTGTATAGTTCTTTCAAAGAACTGGCACACACAAAATGGGCCTAGTGGCCTCTCAATCTATATTATTCAACATATAAATCAGTGGCAAAACGATCAAATTGGAAGAACAAGCTACAGGACTCCTAAAATGGACCAATATCTCAGGAGAAATATACACCAATGATGCTAAAGCTTGAATGGGAACATAAACACAAAACAGAATTTAATCACCACATTCCAGCAGCTCTATTATTCAAAACTGTATTCCACTGATTGAGCACATTCACAAGAGATTAAAAAAAGGTAACCCAAAGAAACCTTGCACCCAAAATCAAATATACTTAAAAACAAAATTTGTATCAACATTGATTTTTGTAACATGCCAAAAAGGATACAAATTGGTTGTTCCGTGTTAAAGTGCCACCTGGCCGAGGCTATTGTGATACCTGAACAGGTTAATTGAAAATATCTACAAATAGGTTGTGTCGCACACCTCACCACCACCGTCGACATTCAATACTGTGCTGTTTGGTGAAGCACAAACTGACAGTACTAGATATTAGCCACAAACCGGATACAGCACAAATCTAACTGATTAGAAATTTAAGTTAAGGTTAACTGATTATTTCCGTGGCTTAAAGTCATCTCAGCCGTCATCTGAAGCAAAATATACTGAAACAACGCCAAGTAATGCCACAAAAATACGTTTGCCAGTGGAGCCCTATTAGGATAAACGTGCTCCTTTCACTGGAATTTTTCGGGCGACATCAGAATTAAATAGAGAGAGATGAGCTTGCGGTGCGAGTTCAAATCGGTCATGACACTTTACTACAAGCAAACACAAAATGAATGAATCTTTCACCTTCCCACTGGGGGCACACAGAAAAGGTTTTGTTCTTTTCGATCAGGCCGAGATTGCAGACCCGTTCCCAGCGAGTAGGGCTGGCCCCAACTTGGGGGTGGGGGGAATAAAGGGTGTTAGTATCTAGCGTTGACAAGCCGGGGAGTCCCCGCTCCCACACGTACCGAATACATCCTGCTTGTCGGGGTTGACACCATTGATGGCGCTACCGCTGACTAGGATGTTGATCTCCTCCTGGTCGCGGACGCTCGTCCCGTTGCCGGACAACTTCTCGGCTTCGGCCCTCTTCTTCTTGCGGAGCCACTGGCCGCCGCTCTCCGAGCTAGAGACGTGCAAGTGAGAGTGCGAGTGGCCGTGGGCCGCTCCTCCGCCGGCGGCACCGCCGCTGCCGTGGAACATGCAGAGTCCCAGGAGGTTGACCAGGAGCCCGGCGGCGCCGACCCCGGTCACCACCAACGCGTTCTGGATCTCCCGCGGCTCGCTGAAGCGCTCGATGGCCTCCAGCACGATGGTGAAGCAGAGCGCCGTGAGGAAGACGGCATTAACTAGTGCTCCCATCACCTCGGCGCGGATCCAGCCGAACGTGTTCTTGGCAGTCGACTGGGTTTTGGCGGCGAATCGCACGGCGATGAGGGCCACCACCAAGGCGATGACATCTGACAGCATGTGAAAGGAATCGGACAGCATGGCCAGCGAGCTGGTCAGCCGGCTCACCACCACCTCCACCACGAAGAAGCCGAATGTCAGCCACAACATGCACATCAGGCGCGCCCGGTTCGGCTCGCAGTCCATCTTCCTGCAGTCTGACAGCAAGCGAGCGGCCAAGCGAAAAAAAAACAACCGTTCCAAGGAACAAAGGGCCGTTTAACGTTTAACGTTTAAAATAACGGCCGGAATTTAAAACAAAATAAAAGGGGTTGGGAGCAGAAGGAGGCGAGCTAAGCCGAAAGTTCTAGAGAATAGGAAAACAAGCCTTTCATTGTCTCACCCAACCCGTAACTATGCAGACGCTTACAAAAAAAAACTTTTGCACCCGGCAAGTTTTCCTTTCTGCGCACGGTATTTTTTTTTCTCTCTCTATTTCAGCACGGACCCATGTCTACCCCGCCCCCACAACAACCACCCAACACGGCCTACGGCCGAGGCCGATTGGTTGCAGCTAAGTATTCATTAGGGTTATTGGCCTACTTTGGTGTCAATCATTTCCATCCCGCCCACTCTGCGCACAGCTCCACCGGGTTGGCTTTTAAAGGCTGGTTTGTCTTCCCCTTCCACCCATCCATTGTGGCGTTAGCAGCGCTCATTGCGCCGATAGCAAGCTCCTGACCAATAGGAATGAGCCTAGCCCGGGCTCCGGCATTAATCTGGCGTTGATTGGCTACTCTCTTCGATTTCTTTATTTATAATTGGTTGATGGTAATGCTATTTAAATACAGCCGCCGGCCGTCGCCATTGTACTCTCCGTGCGCTATGCTGATTGGTGTTATTCATCAGGAAGCAAGGTTCCTTGGCAATGATTGACAGATGGTCCTATTTAATAGCTTCACACTTATCGGGAAAATGCCTCAAGCGGCAATCCAGAATGCCGTTTTTAGTGTGACTCAGCGTTAGTGGACAGTAATATTTTAACAGCTTTAAAAGTTTTAAACAAAACGCTCGGTAGAACTGTATAGAGATAGTAGGAACTGCAGATGCTGGAGAATCTGAGATGACAAGGTGTACAGCTGGATGAACACAGCAGGTCAAACAGCATCAGAGGAGCAGGAAAGCTGACGTTTCGGGCCTAGACCCTTCTTCAGAAAATCGGGTCTAGGCCCG